ATAGGTTGGCCATCACTACAGGAGCACTTTAAGGAATGAAGCATTACAAGAAATCAATGAATAGGGAGAATATACACCATCCAACTGTTCACCAAATACTGGAGACAAAAGAGCACCTCAGAGCATTAGCATGTTGGCCTGATGATTCACAGCACAGGAACGCGACAACTGACTCACATAGCTAACCATCTACTAGAACAGGCCTTGACATCTCCCAGGAGCCTAAATTACAGCTGCTGTCTAACTATCTGAGCCTTGTGTTTTCATAGCGCTGGAAGTTCACACTCCCTAACATTAAGCAGTATTTACACACATATTTTAAAAGGAAGGCGTTTTCCTACACGTCTCCACGCGTGTAGGAATCGTCTTGTTACAGAATGCACTTTCACTTCCCAAAATGTGGTTGGCAAAATTTCAGTCGTTTATAAAGTTCTTTTGAACGCCATGCTGGAGCTCTGATCATACAGAAGTTGCTACAGAAATGCACAAAAAAACTTGTGCACCAAAACAAAAATAAAATACAACAATAATAATAAATATTTTTTGGAAGCAGAATAACCACAGGAGGAATGTTTCACACTTGTCCAGTTTCCTGCAGAAACATGCAGCATCACCACAAGAAAATGTAGCCCAGGTAGAAATCCCATTCATTATGTGGCTAGCTCACATCCTGTGGCTCGGGAATACCAGCTCACGCAGCATTTTTGTGTATCAGCATGTAATGTGGATCTATCTATCTAATTATGTACAAGTGTAGCGCTGCACTATTTATTACCTTTCATCTGCTGTGTTCTCCAGAAGGCCATTTCCATCTTTGCTCAGGCACCATTCAGGGTCAGCATCTACTCCCTGGTGCAAGATGCTGTGGCCAGCTCCTGGCTGTGTACACATGTGTCAGAAACACATCAGCCCCTGCTGCAGCATCTCACTTTGTGACTTGCTACAAAGTCACAGTGCACAGTCTGAGTGATCATTGAGACAGAGCAAAAATCCTTCCTCCTGCCTAAGCAGACTGAGGATATTTTCTCAGCAACATCAGTGGACTGGAGCTCAGAGACGGCTTTTAGTGATAAACGTTCCAAGCTTTTCTGAATATTACTGTATACCGTGACATGCCTGGAATTAACTCATGTAGACTTGTATGGTCCACTCTTAAGTCAGCCCACTGAAATAAATAGGAAACACACCTAGCATGTACTATTGTGCATTTATAGTACCGAGTCTACACCCTTTAAAATATCTCTTCTTGAAGGATGATGCCCATGCTTTGGATGTTGCATTAGCATGGTAGGCAGCCGGTCAGAACTGCACTATTGTGTAAACACAATGCTCTGCTAGGAGACACCTGCGTCCATCAGCCAGAGGCAACTGACAGCTCTGCTCGGAGACACCTCCGTCCATCAGCCAGAGGCAACTGACAGGTCTACAAAATAACTACTTTGAAGTCCATTGTCTGCAAATATTTTAGCCATTTATATTGCATTAGAACAAGTTTTCAGGGGCAGACGCCAATATGGTCCCAGCTTTTGGGACATTAGAGGGGGAAAATAAAAATACAGATCTCATACAAATATTTTCCCTGGTGGGATCTGAACCCAGGCTCTCAGTGCTGCACAGCAAAAACCATCACTTAGCTATAGAACTATACAAATTTTTAAAGACCGGACACACACAAACACCTAAACCAATATATTGTTGCACCTGTTCCTGTGATCTCAAAATGTTTAAAACTTTTTTTTATATGTCCTACTTTAAAGAAATCAAACCAGCAGGGTTCATCCAAAGACATTTCCTGTCCTATGGTGACACCACTTACTCAGCTGCAGTGGTGTCACCCTTTTCTGCATACACTCGACTGTAAGCAGACATGTCCTAGAACACACATTCTGCCATAGTCAGCGCTACAAGGGCTCATTCACATCATCCCAGAGTCTATAATGTGTGTGTGCCTGTGTGCTGGTGTGCGATGCTTTGTTACACTTTATTAGACCCTGTTCACACCTAGGTGTCGCACATAAAAACGCGTGATAAAATGCACAAAACAAGAAATCCCATTCATTCCTATGGTCCCCGGTCACACCTGAGCATTTTGTCACAAGCTATAAAACACCTGTCGCTGGACATGAGCTTCTTTTTGGAAGATTACAGCGCGTTTTGTCCCCATATACTCAATAGAAAAACATGCAACAATTCTTTTTGTGCGTTTTTGCACATGATTGCCCAGTTACATCAATGTGTCACAATCTGCCCGCTAAACCACAAAATGTAAAGTGTGCGCATCTGACATGCAAAAACGTGCAGCCAAAACACCGTCGCCTTGGAATGTATACAGCCCAAGGGCCCTATCACACTGGATGCCTTTCTGCTAATGTGCTGCAGTGCGTTTGATACATTTGCGTTGCACTTTTGATGCGTTCCAATGCATTTTTTGTGTCAATGGGCTTTTAGGTGCGTTCCAGTGCGTTTTCGTGCATTCCAGACCAAAAAAACGTGACATGCAGTACTTTTTTGCAGGCACTGGAACTGAACGCAATGGTGTGAACCAAGTTCAGAAAGCACCATAGGAGTACATTGGGATGTGGCTTTAATGTGGACAAAAAAAAAGTCCGGGCCGGATCAGGTGTGAAAGGGACCTTAAAGTGTCACAAAATGACACTTCAATTCTATGCACTGCAACATGTTCGGATGTGTGTAGAAATGCGTTTGCACTCAGAACACACCACCGCACATGTATGACGTAACAGGCCACAAAATGTATTCTATGTACACTTGCGTTGATCTATGCAGCTTGATGGACATGCTGTAAACAAGCCCTAAACCTTTGATGTTCGGAGGAGGCTGGAGCACGCAACAGGAAGTTCATATAAAGTGTGTACCGGATGTGCACGGCTCAGGGTGGAGAAGACGTGTAGGGAGAAGATTATTTATACCAAAAAAAAAAATCTTAATCGTGCTCTACATAACTGCTGGTCGGCGAGAGTCCAGTTCTACTTTAATGCTACGGCCCCACTGTGACCACATGTAACTACAGAACCACCGATCTCAAACCACAAATAGGAAAAATAAACGTTCAGTGGTTTAAAAAAAGGTGACTCCAAAGTCTGCATCTGCCCCAGTTCAGTATGGATGTGTAAGGACAGGTGAGCTCAGCCTGGAACCGGTTTGTGCACATTAATATACAATGACAACGCTTCCAGGTGAGACCCCACGGGGGGCCGCCTCTGCTCCTGACCCCCTGCACAATGTCTGCTCCTACAAGAAGAGGGGGGGGGGCCATGGTGGAGGTGAGCGAGGGCAAGGATCTAGAAGCGGCTGTAATCTGGATTACCAGGGGACAGATGGGAAGGCCTAGTCTATCCACAGAGGTGGAGGGCACTGGAAAGAGGAAACCTGCACACCGGGGCCATCACTGCTATCCTCGTCTTGTGAAAATACCACATTCCTGGCTGTTATGTTGATGCCTTGGGCTTCAGTACTTCCCGAGTCACTGATCCAGAACAAGCGTACAGATCAGGTGCCCTGGCATCATTCTGATTCCGCATGTCTGTTCCCTGACATGACAGCCAAGCAAACAGCATTTTCAGAAGCATGCCAACAATGGCGGTCCCCGTGTTTCTTACAATAAAAAGGTAAACTCCTGGAGCTTTCTGTGCTATAGACGGCAAAGTCTTATTAGTAAAACTTATAATTCAGTTTGTGGTGAGGTGGAATTACCCGCCATCCCTTCACCAGATTCTATCCGGTGTCCCCAGCTTTCTGAGGAGGGGATCACCATCTCCATGCTCTGCACCCCAATGAATTCCTTACAATACATGATCCATCTGTAGAGCATAACATGCATCTGCCCAAAGCTAACCGATCAGGTTGTGGCGGCGCTGTCACCCACACACATGTATGGAGGTATGATACTCAGCAGGTTTAATGATCTGGAACACACAAGGATGTATTCTGTATCCACGCAGGCGTCACTCACAGAAGATGCTTAGAATGCGCTCATCATTGTACAACGCCATTCAGGGAAGAATTAGATGTACTTCTATTGGTTTTACCTTGTCTGAGCCGGACACTTCCGCTTGAGTGTTCGGGGTCAAAGGTCACCTGTGAACTCACACACTTCTTTTCTTCCCAGCTCCCGAGTATGCTTAGCAGTATTGAATCACAGTGCCCTGTAGTACTCTAGGACTGCGGTCCTTGAAAACAACTGAAAATAATGAAGAGTCCCTTACTGGCTGTTACCTTAACCCCTAAACCACCATTTGAATTATTACTAATAAAGCTGAATTGTTCGGTGCCCGGTGACCAAGCCTTGCACCGCCAAATCCTCAGCGTTCCCATACTCCAAGACTGGACTAGTTCAAGAACCCACATTGGGATTCTGAATAAGCCAAACTGTGATGGGAACTAGAAGGGTGTCCCTTGGCTGTACTGGACATACAGGACATAGCAGCTACATACAACAAGGTGGACATTGTCAACCCAAAGCCAATGTGTTCTCATCAGTCCCTGGAGTCCACCCAAAACTGATCAGACTGCAAGATACGGTGGAGTTAAAGCACCGAATGATTTCCATCACTGGGGACAAGCATTATACAGGGGGAACCTGCTGGATTCATGTTTTATATAGAGAGCACCCTAGTCACCCACAACTCCAAGGTGGCTACAAACCATGCCAGGAACTCAGACAGAGTCATCTCTTCACTAGTGATAGAAGAAATCAGAAGGCTCCACTGATAGGAATAAGATCACTTCTGGGTGGACTGACAGCACAGGATACTGACTCACCTACAGGTCACCTCTGCTGGGACTTGTAGTTCTCCATCAGTTTACAAGCCCCAGGACTCCCATATCCTGAGGGCAGCCCATGGTGGGATCTAGTAGTGATGTCATGAAGTCAGAGTGGTGCCAGGGGACAGTAATGCTGTATGGCTCCCCTGGGTGCTGGAAGTAAGGCCAGCAAGTGCAGTGCCAATTAAAGGGCCCCCCTTCCCGGCTGCACCCACCTTTATAGTGCAGCACAGCGCTGGTCCTGATGGTGACCGTCCCGCACAGCGCCTCCCCAGGGCTGTACACCACCCGGCTGTCCCGCAGGCTGATTTCGAAGAGCTGCACCTTCCCCATGGCCGGTACCGAGAGCTGACTGAGCGGAGAGCCAGCTGCCTCGTGATGTCACCGGGAGCACTGCGTTCAGCCCCGCCCCCGATACCGACACGCCCCTCGCCTGCTCTCAGCTGTGAGGGAGGGGGAGAGCTGCTGTAATATCAGTGCTGGCACAGCCCGCTAGGGGTAGGGGCATAGCACTGTGCATGGTAGGGGAGGGAGTCTGTGTGCAGCACTGTGCATAGTGTGAGGGGGGTCTGTGTACAGCACTGTTCATGTTGGGAATGGGGTGTCTGTGTGCAGCACTGTGCATAGTAGGAGGGGGGAGGTCTGCGTGCAGCACTGTGCATGGGGG